TCTCAAATAATTGAATAAGATTCTGACAAGAGAAATAGAAATAATTCTAGAAGATTTAATAAAAAAAGTCAAATTGAGAAAACACGTGTGGCATTAAATGAGTTGCCTTTGGGATATTTGAGGTGCCTTTTGGTTTTCACATAATGTGCATCATGAGTTTAACATTAATAGCTACCAGGTGTTCAAAGCAAAACGTGTGAGTTAAATGACATGTCTCTTTGGATTTTTTGATGTTGATTTAAAATCAAATAGTGATTTAAATCTTTGTGGTCTACAAAAGCCTTTACGAATTCGTATATGTTTAATAATAAAAAATTAAAATTTAAAAACAGTGATTCAATTTTTTTTATATACGATAAATGATATATTGAAAAATAGATATTAGAAAAATGGCAGATTTGAAAAAAATTATCAAATTTTGAAACAACTGTTTTTAAAAATGTAAATTGTAAGGGAATTTGGGAAAATAATATACGGAGTATATATTTTTTGAAAAATATTTTGTTTCGTTAATTTTAATGTGGATATCCTGAGGTAGATAAGTTAAATGAAATTCTTGGAAAATAGATAGTAATAGAAAAAGACTCATTAAACTGCTTAACAGGAGATGTTTGAAATTCTGGGAAAATATTAGAAAAAATGCTCATTAAGGCTCATTTATTGCAAAAAAAGGTTGCTGTATGTCGAAATACTTAGATAAATGCAAAGACATGAGATGTTTCAAATTCTAGGAAAATAATAGAAAAAGAGGCTCATTAAGGCTCATTTATTGCAAAAAAAAAAGGCAGGTGTATCCCGAGAAACTTAGACAAATGCAGAGACAAAAGATGTTTCAAATTCCTATAGTTTGGAATAAAAATTGACAAGTCACCTCATTAAATTGCTTTGGACGTCCAAACTAAAACAAGGCATTATATATAGAAGATTACACAGCACATAACACCTCTTACTACTCCCTACTATTCCCTATTTTGAAAGGTTGAAATCAAAACATGCTGGATTAACACCTAGGATCGTGATGCAAAGTGTTAGAGGTGAAAGAAAATGTTCTGGAAGTGGAACACAAGCAATTCCAGATGTATGAAGTAGGTAAGTAAGTGTAAAAAATGAAAGTTTTTATGGAAAGAGTGTGTTTTGATTCGATGAAAAGTCAAATTTTTTAGAAGTTATTCCATACTTCAGTGGTTTATGTATTGAATTGAAACAACTCTTTGCACTTTTGTTGTTATGTTGTGTTTTGAAAACTGTTAAAATTAATATGTCAATGCAGATTTATTAGCCTATATGCAAAAGCAGATTTGAACAATGTGTATAATTGCTGATTGCATGTCATGATTGTTACATATAAATGTATCCATAATGAAAAATAGTTGTGCACTGTAGACTTGAGGATTATTAGATTGAAGCTTTTTTTTCTTTGAAAAATCATGAGGAGTTTCTTCAGTTTTTACTTATATCGACGCATAAGTAGTATTTAATAGGCCTTAAGTAATAGCATACGTTTGAATGCCTGCTACGAAAGACGTTGATATGCTTTGAGTAGCTCCATGATTCATCTTGCCTGCCAGAATAAAAAGATAAGTTAGTGTAGCTGCGTAATTTATATTTTCAATAGAGAAATTTGATGAATTCACAATGAAATGTACATATTACATATTTAAATGTGGAGTAATTGATTTAGATACATATTTATGAAGATTTTAATATGACTCACATTGCGCATAGATACGATACGTTCACTTGATAGTTTTTTAATATCCATTTTTGTTTATATTCCTGTTTAAAGTTTTGTATTTTTGAGAGATTTTTTCCTATTAGTAATTGAAAGAGCTTATTTTGCATACCTTAAGTACAGAATGATAGAAAAAAAGGGTAGATGGATGTAGCTCCACAATTTTGAAAAATTAATGTATACATTGCATACTTAAATATAAGTGGTTCGTAGTTGAAATGTGCATTGTTTTGATCAGAAATTAGAATGTTGAAAACTTTTTTTTCTTCTAATTGCAGATATAGCTTATTTTGCGGAGCCAAAGTAACATATGATGGATAAACTTATAGAGAGTGAGCAGTACCGGAGAAAAAGAGGTGTACCTATCATCTCCCAAGATAGAGGTAAAATATAACACAGTTGTTTTCTAACAGTTACCACAAAGGTGCTCTAAATACATTTGCTATATCTATGTTTATGATAATTAAGAGAATTTAAAGCAGACATGTGGGGTTCATTATAAACTGGATCAAAGTTTGAAATTTACTGTTTCTTAAATATTATACATTAAGCTTCATTATTTTTTAATGTAAATAGTGAGGGATAGAAATCAACTTTGTGTATGTATCTGTGTATACCTTCTGTAAAAATACCAATTTGTAACATTAAGCTTCATATTTCCATACATTCTATTCTAGCGATGATAACAAAGCTACCAATTTGTAATTTGCATAGGTTATTTCGGTAAAATGCATTAAATTACTTCACAATCTATGCGAAAAACACTTATCTGTAAAACTTAGTAGATGATTCATGCTGAGATTCTTCAAGATAGTCGGAAGATGCGCCGGTAAACTATTAGAGTGTCGATGGGCGGATGTCATAGACGTAGAAGATGCCGGTGTGTTTAAAAATGCCTAGCAGTTAAGGTTCATGATCTGTGGGGGTGTACATCTATGGTTTTGTTTGAGATGGAACTGAGGATGGTGAAGATACGAATGAAGGCACAATATCGACAACCTTGTGCGTCTATGGTCTGCGAAGAAGAGGGAGAGAGATAGGATTAGGGGAAGTTTTTAATTTTGGGTCCTGGGCTTTTGGGCTGAAATCAGGAGTTGGGTTTTAGTTGCTTATTGTTCTGCACTACTGCGCTGGACTCAGAAAATTGGCTATGGGCCTGAATATTGAATTGATTTGAAAAATATTTAAAACTTATAATGCATATAAAAACTTTTCGAATGTAATTATATTTTTTAAATTCAATCATCATCTTTTTTTAAATATATGACTATTTTAATTTGAAATTCATAAAGTATTATATTAATACAAAAAAAATATTATATCAATGGAGTGAGTTTCAGCCCTGATTACTCCAGGCTCCCCCCAGCCCCCCTCCCCCAGACTCCCCTGGAGTAAAAAAAAAGTTAATATGAAACTATTATTTTAATACTCAGATTACAGAAATATTTAAAAATATATGGAGAAAGTTTGATTATGGTTGTTTTTATAAGTCACATTATCAACTTTAGTTTTTTATATCACTTGATTAGCTTAATCTCATATATGTCTATTAGCGTAATCTCATATGTCTATAAAAAATAGTTCAAAATGTATTTATACAAATTTTATTAATATTTCAGATAAAAGGGCTGAACCATTGCTGAAAAAAAATAAGCAAATATCGACCTCATCTTCGCTCTCGAGATCACCTTTGAGAGAAATTACAAATGGTAATTTATCAAATTTTGGTACATGTATTTATGTCTATGTATACAATTCAGCAAGCGTTTTTATTTTGCTTCATTTCATATAGAAAATATTCCGGTAAGTTTTCAATGTCAACGTCCATCTCAAGGCAATAACGTTAAGCGCTATGTATACCTTCAACATTTGTGGAATGTAAATCCACTTGAATGTCATCTACCTGTAAGAGTTAGAAGCCATAGAGGTGAGAATTACATTTTTTATGTTTTTATACAGTTTTGAAAAATGTGAAATATGAATTTATTTTAAACAATAATAAGTTCAGATGTAGCTGGTCCATCTCAACAAATTGGTGGAATAAATAATAGTCTCGATGGACCATCAAAGAATGTGGATGAAATGGAATTGGGCATGCAGAGAGTGGGTCATTCCAACTTAACTGACAGTGATGTTGAGGGAAAAGGTAGTCCCAATAATGTTCTAACTGGGTAAATTTATCCTCGAATATAAGTTTTATATAGTTTTTCCTAAATGTAATTTGCCTATTTAAACAATAATAATTTTGGGTGTAGATGGTCCATCTCAACAGTTTCCTGAAATAAATAATTGTCATGATTCTCCAACTGAGAATGTGGGTGCAATAGGTGGTCCATCTCAACAATTTCCTGAAATAAATAATTTTCTTGATGCACCATCTGAGAATGTGGAGGCAATGCACATTGATGATGACGGAGATGGCGATTACAATGATGTTCCATCTGGTAATTTAGGATCAAAACCTCCATTTTATAAATTGATGATTGTAATGGTTTGATCATTAAATTTTAACATACTGCTTACATTGTTTGCATGTTTTAGGTTATTGGGATATTGGGGATCCTTCTTTCGTTTGTAGCTTTTGCGGAGCCTTATTTTGGTATGAGGAGAGATTAGCTGCTTATTATAAGGCAAAAAATCCAAAATATTCTGGGTGTTGTATGAAAGGAAATATAAAACTACCACTCATAAAAAGGCCTCCATTATTTATTGAAAATCTTTTTATGGGTCAAGATGCAAGGAGCAAACATTTTTTGCAAAATATTCGTTCATACAATAATATGTTCTCCTTCACATCTTTGGGTGGAAAAATTGATTCCACGTTGCATGACGGGAAATCCCCCCCGATGTTTAAGCTACATGGACAAAACTTTCATTTGATGGGGAGTTTGTTACCAAGTGAATCTGTGGTTCCCAAATTTGCACAGTTGTACATATATGATACAGAGAACGAGGTCTCTAATAGAATTAATTCTGTGCGGTAAGAACGTTGTATATACGTATATTAATATTCAAAACATTTCATTATGGATTATTAACTTATTTCATTAAAAAAGACTCAAACTTCATGTTTTCCAACAATTACGATTATCTTATTTTGTTGTTTCAAAATTGAAAACATTTTTATTAATACAAATAAAATATAAACAATACAAATTTTCTACACTTAAACCTACAAAGACTTGAAATAATATTCCATATCAATAAGCTTTTCTTCTTAATTTTTACTAATTCATCGATTGAAAGTGTAATTGTTAGAAAAGTTGAAGTTTGAGTATTTTTTTCATAAAAATGAAAAAACGGGATAAATTTGTTAATTTCATGATTAGTCATTAATAAAGATTTCTTTATTAGTCATTAATTATGTATATAATATTTCCTGTGCACAATAAGGAAAGGAGAAGAATCTCATGATTTGCATGAAGAAATTGTTGAGGGATTGAAAAATACTCTTGATGAGCATAATGTGCTGGTGAAATCATTTAGAATGGCCGCAAAGAAAATCCATGAAGAAGGATGTGTTGAGTTTAAGTTGAAGCTCATAGGAAAGAGAGCAAAGGATGGGAGAACCTACAATCTACCTTCGGTATCAGAGGTTGCAGCTTTGGTTGTGGGCGATTTTGATTTGTCATTGGGACAAAGAGATATTTTGGTCGAGACTTGCACTGGGAGGTTGCAGCGGATTAATGAATTACACCCTTCATATCTAGCGCTCCAATATCCACTTTTATTTCCATATGGGGAAGATGGATTTAGAGAAGACATACCTTTGTGTAATAGAAAATCAAATTAAGCCCGAGGGAGAAAAGTGATGAGCATCAGAGAGTTCCTTGCATATCGGTTGCATGAAAGAAATACAGAAATATCCATTATATTGCGTGCTAAGAAGTTATTTCAGCAATATGTTGTTGATGGTTACACTCTGATTGAATCGAGCAGGTTAAGATATATTCGCAATAATCAAAAGCAGTTAAGGTGTGAAATGTTTAAGGGATTGAATGATGCTTTATTGCGTGGTGACACAAATCCTGCCACACAGGGGAAGCGCATTATACTCCCATCTACATTTGTTGGCGGAGCCAGATATATGATTCAAAACTATCAAGATGCAATGGCCATATGTAGATGGATGGGATATCCAGATTTATTTATAACTTTCACGTGTAATTCAAAATGGCCAGAAATAAAACGCTACCTTGATGAACGGAGTCTCAAGCCGGAGGATCGACCCGATATTATTTGCCGAGTTTTTAAGATGAAGTTGGATGGTTTGATCAATGATTTCCGTCGCAACAAGATATTTGGCACTGTAAGAGCAGGTATTTTAAAATTGTGTTAAAAATGTAATATTTCAGGTTATTGTTATGTTCTTATGAATGCCAATTTTATTTGTAATCTTGCTTTTCAAATACTGATCAAATTTATTTGCAATTTTATTGTAGTTATATACACTATTGAGTTCCAAAAGCGTGGATTGCCACATGCCCACATATTGTTGTTTCTAGATAAAAGTGAAGACCTGGCAACAACAGATCACATTGATAGGATCATTTCAGCTGAAATTCCTTGCGAAGAGAGCGATCCGGAATATTTTAATGCTGTGAAGGAGTTTATGATGCATGGGCCGTGCGGAGATTTGAGAAAGAAGTCTCCTTGCATGGTAGATGGTAGATGCTCGAAACATTTTCCGAAAAGATTCGTGGATCACACCACTTTGGATGAAGATGGGTATCCAGTGTATAGAAGAAGATTTGATGGGAGAAGCATTTCAAAAAATGGAGTGGAGTTGGATAACAGATATGTGGTGCCTCATAATAGATATTTATTGCTAAAATATGCAGCACACATGAATGTGGAGTGGTGCAATCAGTCTAGATCTATTAAATATTTATTCAAATATGTGAATAAAGGAAATGATAGAATCACTGCAACATTCTACCAAAGTGCGAATGGAGAACATGCAGAGAATAATGTGGATGAAGTGAAAATGTATTATGATTGCAGATACATTTCGTCATGTGAGGCTGCATGGAGAACTTTAGGATTTGAAATTCAGTACAGAAGTGTTGGGGTGGAGAGATTGAGTTTTCACTTGCCTAATGAACAAGTTGTTTATTTTAACGACTTAGAGCCCATAAATGAAGTTCTTGAGAAGCCGAGTGTGAAGGAAAGCATGTTTCTTGCTTGGTTCAAAGCAAATGAGATATATCCTGAAGCAAGAAACTTGACTTATGCTGAAATGCCAATTAGATTTGTATGGAATCAATCTACTAGAGAGTGGGTGCCGAGGAAGAGAAATTTCGCTATTGGAAGGCTATTTTATGTGCCACCAGCTTGCGGTGAATTGTTCTATCTTAGATGTCTTTTGAATGTTGTTCGTGGACCAACATGTTTTGAAGATATAAAGAAAGTTGATGGTGTCCAATATGACACATTTCGTGATGCTTGCTATGCTCTAGGTCTACTAAACGATGATAAGGAGTATATAGATGCAATCAAAGAAGCAAGTTTTTGGGCTACAGCACATTGTTTACGTAAATTGTTTGTTGCTCTATTAATTGCTGATTGTTTAAGTAGACCAGAGGAGGTTTGGGAAAAATGTTGGGTTTTTTTATCCGAAGATATCCTCCACAAACAACGCGTGATACTTAATCATCCAGGTATATTTTTATATTATTTCCCACATATTCAAATTTTTATCATACAAATGTAATATTGATTTTAGTTGTTTATTGTAGATCTTACATTATCAGATGAAGAATTGAAGAATTATGCTTTGTATGAAATTCAAAAGATGTTACGGAGTTGTGGAAGGAGTTTAGAAGAATTCCACAGCATGACATGTCCTGATAATAGATTTTTATCCAATAATACCAATCGGTTGGTATATGATGAGTTGAATTATGACCGAGCAACATTGGCAGAGGAGCACAAATATTTGCTGGGTAATCTAACTGCAGAGCAAAGAAATGTCTATGATAGGATAATGAATGCAGTTGATTCAAATAGGGGTGGAGTCTTCTTTGTGTATGGATACGGTGGAACTGGAAAAACTTTCGTATGGACGACTCTTTCTGCTGCTATACGTTCTAGAGGAGAAATAGTATTGAATGTTGCATCGAGTGGAATTGCATCCCTGTTGCTTCCAGGAGGTCGAACTGCGCATTCTCGGTTTAAAATTCCAATACATCCCAACGAAGATTCTACGTGCAATATAAAACAAGGTAGCGCTCTTGCTGAACTTCTGATCAAGTGTAAGCTTATAGTTTGGGATGAAGCTCCAATGGTCCATAAACATTGCTTTGAAGCTCTAGACCGGACTCTGCGTGATATTTTGCGGTTTCAGAATCCAAGAAGTCATGAATTGCCCTTTGGTGGAAAGACAGTAGTGTTTGGTGGAGATTTCAGACAAATCCTTCCTGTCATACCCAAGGGAACGAGACAAGATATTGTAAATGCATCCATAAATTCTTCCCATTTGTGGCAACATACAGATGTCATGCGTTTAACAAAAAATTTGAGGCTTCTTCATTTGCCAGCTGATGACCAGTCAGAATATTTGATCAAGTTTTCCGAATGGATTGCAAACATTGGAGATGGCACCGTGGGAGGACCAAATGATGGGTTTGTGGACATTGAGATTCCAGATGAGTTTTTGTTAAAAGATTTTGATGATCCAATAGCAAAAATGGTTGAATGCATTTATCCTTCCTTTGATGTTATTCATGAAGATCCCAGTTATTTAGAAAAGAGAGCAATATTGGCACCCACTCTCCAAGTTGTTGATTCCATCAATGACTACATGCTTTCCTTAAATGGTTCTGAGATGAAAACCTATCTTAGTTCTGATAGCCCATGTAAATCAGACTCAAATCCTGACTTTTTAGCAGATATCCATACTCCAGAATTTTTGAATGGAATAAAAGCTTCGGGAGTACCAAATCATGAACTGCATCTCAAAGTTGGAACACCAGTGATGCTAATGAGAAACATTGATCATTCTCAAGGGCTATGTAATGGGACTAGGATGGTTATTACCAGATTAGGTAAACATATTTTGGAAGCAAAAGTTTTGACAGGGTTGAGTGCAGGTGGGAAGGTTTTGATACCGAGAATGTCCTTGACTCCATCTGATGTGAGATTGCCTTTCAAGTTTGAAAGAAGACAGTTTCCTTTGATTGTCTCATATGCTATGACGATAAATAAGAGTCAAGGACAATCATTGTCCAATGTTGGGTTAGTCTTGAAAAAACCTGTTTTCAGTCATGGTCAGTTATATGTTGCGCTTTCACGAGTCACTAATCCCACGGGTTTGAAAATAGCTATATGTGACGCAGATGGGAAAAGTACAAATGTAACAACGAACGTTGTGTTTAAGGAAGTGTTCTGAAATTTGTAATAAATTTTGTTTTCATATTGTTATTATTCCAAGCTTTGTAAGAAACATTGTTTTGATTGAAGTTGATATTATTACACATGATACTCTACTGTATGCATTGAATGTTGTTAAACTTACATATTATTTTTAAATTTCAAATATTTGATTTTTAATGTTATTAAAACACATGTAACTCTAATGTATGCATCGGGCAAAGGTATTAAACTTATGTATTGTTTTTAATTTCCAAATATTTAATTATTCTATTGCGCGGTACATTTTACAATGTAATAATTTCCCGTGCATCGCACGGGTAGAATACTAGTTTTTATTATAAAACGTATATCATTCCCCATCGGTTATTAATTCGTATAAGGTGGAAGGGAAATGCGTGTAATACATTAAATGGGTATTTATTGGGTTAGATGGTTAAACATGTTTAGTGAAGTTTTTGCCCAATACTTTTTCAGTAGTAATATTAATGAAAGTTAATTAACAAATAAACACTACACATATCGTTATAAGTTTGGTTATGAATCATTTCATTCCTGCACATTTTCTATACATTCAGCTTCTATGGCGGAGCAAAGGCACTGTGTCGGACTGAGCAGATACAAAGAATATTTTTTGAACATTTTTTACAGAGAATTATTTACCTTAAAAATTAAGACATTTTTTAAAATTTGAAGTGAGTCCCTCTAGCTCCAACCCCTTTTCAACTTGATTATATACTAAAACAACCATTGTTTGTCCGTGCAACGCACGGGTCGATTGACTAGTAGGATCTAATGAGAGAAATAAGAATGATCTTGAGCCGTTGGATTGAAGCATTATTGTCATTAATTAATTAATTCGTATGAGGGTAGACAAGTCATTCTCGATTCTTTCTTTTTAATTAGATTCTTACGTTTTAGCATTTGATGACATTATCTCTCTTCTTTTAGTTATTTCTTCCCATTAGATTGAGTTGATTTATGGTTAGATTTTATTCTCAGTTCTCTCCTGAGACACCATTCTCACCTGAACCTTACCATATATATATATATATATATATATATATATATATATATATATATATATATATATATATATATATAGGGGTCAGTTCAAGTAAAAAGTAGTCTTCCCATGAAAAGTGAGAATAAATCTTGACCTTTGATCACTTGAAAATAGATGGATGGGATGAACTTTAATCACAATAGACCGTTTCAATAAATGTGCAAATGTTTGTACTATAAAGTGGATAGTTTACTGATTAAAAGTGCACTCATGCGTGTAAAAAAAGATTGTCAAAGTTTGCCAATTTCTGCACTTTTTATTTTATACTATATTGCACTTTTTTACTCTATGTGTGCACTTTTTAACTATTCCGATACACATTTGTCACAAAATTTTCAATAAAAGTTCTCCGTAATTACAAAAATGCCACCGCGTTTCAACCTTAAAATTTGATCTCTTCCATCCATTTTTTCACATCAATGGCCAAGATTAGTTTTTATTTTTCACCTATGAAGTACTTTTTATTTGAACCAAATTCTATATATATATATATATATATATATATATATATGATACGTGCTAATAGTTTCCGAAATAAGCTCCAAGGTGGTTGATTACTGATACTCCGTAATTGATATTACCAAATATATAACCAATTAAACCAAATACTATGGAATACTCTTACTAATAATATACGGAGTACATCTATATAATATAATAAAGCAAACCCCTAAAGAACTCTTTAGATGAATTGATGACATGTGGCAACATCCTTTGTATGAAACAATGACATGTGGCAACACAATAAATTAAAGAAAAAGCTATTCAACTTCCGAAACTCTACTCTTGTGTATTCCAATATTATAGGAAATTTGTTCTATATAAAATTAGGTGAAATTTTAGGTAAAATTTTGCACTCACCGGTACTACAAAATCGAAATACTCAAAAATAAAAAATAATTGACAATTTTTAGCCACTATTAAAACAAAAATATTACTCTCTATTTCTATTCTCATAAACTTTTGGAGATTCTCCCTTATTCGGAGTTATTATAAATTGTTTCTTATTTCTTTCCAAAATATGATAATTATTACATCTTTCGTCACATTAATTTTCTCCGACATTTCCTTTTTTCGTTCACTAAGTTTGTGTAGCTCTAAATATTATAACACATGTGTAGTTCTAAATCATTCTTACATTGTTGTTCCTGCATTTTCATTTCAACATTAGCTATATAAACTCTTTTTTTAATAGATGCACATGTCTCGATCTTGAGGGGACAAATGTGATATTACTTATTTATTTATTAATTCACAAGGTCTACCAAATCAATGTCTAAATGTAGATTCATTTTTTTGTCTCATATTTATTTATACTTCGCAATTTATGTTCAGGTTGATAAATGGATTAGCACTCCCCAATCTTACCCAACCCGTGGTAGCTTATATTTTTCATAGCTTGGATCATCTAACTGCCTAACGGTCTCAAACGATGAGAACGATCTCAAATGATGCACATTATTTTTAATGGAGTTGCACAATACATTTATATTTAAAATAATTGAGACATTAAATGAACATTAAAAGGTTATTTGATTTACAAAAATGTCACTTCAATTTTTATTTATGATAGCGCATAATTCTATTTCAAATAATGCACAATTTTCAAATCTAACATTCGTGATCATTCTAATTCTCTTTACACAGATGTCTTCTCATTTAAACTCAATCTTATATTTATAATTTACAATCTTCAAATCTAACGTTTCGGTTCATATATATAGAAATAATGCTAGAGTAATTTATTTGAATAATTATTATATATAGAAACAATGGTTCAACAAGGGTTGTAAACTAATAAGCATATTTGAAAATTATTTTAGTGGTAAATCATCAATATTGAAGACAATGAAAGTCAAATGTTTATATTTTGGTTTACACGCAACTTGCATGGGTCAACTCACTTAACTCGTAACCCATGCAAATTGCACCACGAAACCGGTGAGTTCATCGGATTAAAGAATGACAACTCTTATCCACCGTGAAATGAGATGAAATGGGTAAGCCCTAATATGGATTTTGACTCACTTTGACGGCTCTATCCATATATAGTCGATTGAATTTTCTTATTAACTCCCATTGACGAATTTACATCCAATTTATTTTCCCTACAATTTTAATAAAAACTTTAAGCACATATGTTCCCGTGCGGTGCACGGGTACTCATACTAGTAATATAATAAAGCAATTCCTTGGAAGAAGCCTATGAAGAAATTTTGACATGTGGCAACATACTCTAGAATAAAAATTGACATGTGGCATGCATCATATAAATGTAATGTTCAACTCTCATCTCAAATGCATGCACGCAGCATTTATAGGAACTCACATATATAAGTGAAAAAATCTATTGACCTTAGCTTCCAAAACTTCTAAACTGACACACATGAATTTACATTCAGTTTCATTAAAATAAAAAATGTCTATTGAAATTCCATTAGACTTAAGTGTTAATATCCGTTTATATATATATAAACATAAAGCACAACTAGCAGTGGCTTTTGTGCACACATGCTGATCTTAAATTATAGCACCCAATATAAAAGCATTCAATATCAAAGTTCATACTCCGTATCATATGACTGTGGAAGTTTCCAATTTAAAATGCCTCAAAGGTTCCATTTTCACTAGCGATAGTAATTCATTTTGATAAGCTTGCTAATTTCCATTACTACTTTCGATCATTATACTCCGTAACTATTATTTTTATTAAGTTTGCTGGGGTATTTTTATCATTCAGTTTGCAAAAGGTGAAGAGTTATAGAGCTATTTTATATTTCATAAATACGGATTATATGATTCTATATTTCTATCATTAATTAATATAATGTCTTATTGCATATGATAAAATTGTTGCGATTATAATTGTCCAATTTTTTCTTGGCACTCGAGGGGCTGTGAGCCTCCAATAAGCGAGGAAAACAATCAAGCTTTTATCATTTAGGAAAAGATATGTCTAAGACTGTGAGCCCGATTTTTAGATCCATGATTCTATCTATTTATTAAATAATGCCAGTCATAAGGAGTAGTTTACAAAAACAAATCATAAATTAAATGTTATTGCCATATAAAAAACATTGTGACATCCTTACAATCTTTTACATTCTATTCTAGCTATTTTGTTGGAATTGTAACAAAATTCTTAGTTTTTCAAGAGAAAAACCCCTACATAACAGTCAAAAAACGGTTAAAGTATATTTTAAAGTAAACATACTTATATGATATACTTTTTTAGTATATAAATGTAAATGATGAATCAGAAGTAATAGAAGAAACATTTTGAACTATTTCCAAATTTTTCCTGACAAACAATGATAAACACATATAGCCTTTAAGAATAAAACTTTACATCATTCAGCTGTTTCTTTCTCACTCTTTTATATGTTATTTATGTTCCGTTTCAATTTATGATTACTATGTATTACTTACCCTATAACAGTCAATTAACACTTTTTAAATAACTATTGTAAGTAGAATAAACTTTGATTATATTCATATTTGTATTTTCAATTCTATAAATCTACAGTCGTTTACCCATTTTGTGTATTTTTCTTTTCTTTCTCTTTAAAATATACTTCAGATTTCTCGAAAAATTTAACCATGACGTACTTTTACCGTGCGACGCACGGGTACACATACTAGTGACTATATATGGGCAGGTGCGGTCCTATATGTTCGAATGCCTAGTGGCGAAAAATGAAAGTAGGCCTAATGTTACAAAAAAAATAGAACGCTTTTCTATCTAAACTTACGTGCATAATAATAGTAATAATATAATAATATTTCAAGATATTTATAAAAACTGTCAAACCCTATCCTGTCTAAACCAACTTATTATAGTATTGGTGATCTTTATTTAAGAAGGAAACAATGGTAACCCGATTTGTACACTTTACCAATATTTA